TTGGGATACAAAATGCAACGGGGAGAGTTGTGTAAAGAGTACTCCAAACTGAAGGGTTTCCAGGATTTGGTGCTCTGAAATGGGCTTGGTATGCATTACAATCAGAACTGGCCTATGGAAAGAGCACAGAGCCACAGACCATGAAACAGCTATTGTTTCAACAGCCTTCAGAAGTTCTTAGACCAGCAGCGAGATGCCCCCAAGAATCACTGGGGCAGTCAGTCTCCTTCTGGGTGGTTTCACCGGTTCTTGGTGAAGCAGGCTTTTCAAGCATGTAAGGATTTTTCTGATGAAATAGTATCCTGAAACCCAGTACTTCTCAAGGCATTTGATGACAGCAACTGGGGGTAAAGGAAAAGGAGGAACCAGTCATACTTCTTTCTCCCAGCTCTGTTCTGTAGCCAGTAGGAGTAAGTGCTCTCTATCATATTGCTGCTGTGGCTACAGGAATAGGACTGGATAACCAATCCAAGGGGAACAGACTTTTTTTGTGAGGTTAATTCTCAAACATTGTTTTCCAACCCAGGACACAGTGCAGCAGATGCATAAGAAAGTTTGAGCTGTCACTAATTGTCTGAAGTTAGGCATCTAATTGGGATCTACTTTTGGACTTGCCTGTCCAGCATGTCATTTTAAATGCTAGATGACATGGTAATTGGAAAGGCACAGAAAATGACGAGGCATCTAGAGGCTGAAGCAAATATGACAGCTCTTCTGCTGTTGGCACCAACGTCCAACCAGAGACAAAACAAGTAACCCAGCTGTGGAGTAAAGGGAAAGCATTAGTCTTGACATGTGCACCAGGTATCCTCTCTCTGGCCATCTGGATGCTGGGAAAGACTTGGAGCCTCATGGATAGAGTCAGCCGAAGAGAATACATAAAACCTTGAAAAGGGGCTAGTGGCTGCTGCATGACTTGTAGTGGCTTTTCCAATCTACCCTCACATGGTGGAGTAGCTTTAAAGGTGGCAGAGGTGAGGCAGAACAGGCTGAACAATCAAAACACATCCAAATGACTCTGGACAAGCATTCAGCTGGCCCATTGCATAGACTCATAGTCACTGAAGCTCAGCAAAAGGCATACAGCCTCCAGGAACAATTCTAGAGAGTTTGAGCCCTGTGCCAGCAAGAAGACTGCAGCGTGGTAGGAACTACCCCGTCATAAGTACATACAAGCAACAGTGCAGACTAAGTAAAGGGAGACAAGAGGAATGAAGACCCTTCAAGCAAGGTGTGCTTCCTCTCAGCTGCACTCTCAGCTATTCTCAGAACTGAACTATTAAGGCTCTGATTCTGCTGAACTTAAACAGATGTAAATATCCTCTGAGTAACCTTACTGAAATTATTAAAATTACTCCTGTCAGTCCCAGCTCACTGGTAATTCTTAACACAGTCAATGTTTTCAAAGCTTATCATTTGTTATTTATCAGTCTCATCAGTAATCTGTCATTTTGCAGGTGTAACTATTTTGGTCAAGACACAATGTAAGCAGAGCTCTAAAAGTTTTAATCCAGTTTCAATACCACTGAATGTGAACTTGAGGCAGTCAATATCAGGAGTCAGCAAATATCTTCAGTAACTTGCTTTAGCATTTTCAAGCTACCATAATGAATAGAAATCAAAATTCTGCTTTGTTTTGATGGACACTGCTGTAACAATGGGCTGTGCTTTCACTTTCTGCTGAAAAAGAGGATGGATTTGAATTAATCACTTAATAAAATGATCCTGTGGCTTGACGTCGTTGTCACAAAGACACTACGGATGCTTAAACTGTTAGAAACAAAATCAGGGATTCACAAACTGACATTTTATTTCTGATACCTTTTTTACATTTGTACAATATATTACAGAACTTTTCATTTTCTGCAGAATCTAATATATATTGTATAGCTTTTTTCTATAAGTTTATAATAAAATAAGCATTACAAATGAAATATTTGTTGCTTTAAGGGGAAAAGAAACAGTCACAAGAAAACACAAAAATATACCTGTTACAATCCATGATGAAGAAATACACACTTTAAACTGGCTGAATACAATCTTCATACATTAAAGTTTACTACAGCTTGTTAGCCTTTTTTTTCTTTTTCATCCTGTATTTTATCAGAATTTTTAAAAACCCTGTTTTAAAGAAAAATGGCAAAGCACTGTAGTTACATTCCTATTAATGGGTTCTTAAAACCCACAGTAATGTATTTAAGCCTAATTCAAACCTGTAAATATTAGTCAGTCTTTCTTTGATTGTTTTTTTTGAATTACGCCTCATATTTGGTTATCAGTACTGATAAAAAAGAGTGTCTCTCAACATCTGCTAAGTGCAAAGTGCATACTTTCTCTGAAAATGCCTCACCTATTGCTGTAGGCAGTGTTCTAGTGTGGCTGCTTCTAAGAAGAGATTTAAAGCTAATGAACATTTGGAATTCCAAGTGTGGAATTCCAAGTGTGTTCTACAGGAACAAAACTGCTGTTGTGATTTTTACATTTCAGGAAAAAAAACAAAGATGACAGTGCCGTTATGCTTTATTTATTCCAGAGTGGGACAATCAGATCTTGGGGAAGTTTACATTCCTTTTGTCAGCAGTAATACTATAACAGTTATATTCCTTCCATCAGCTGGACTCTATGGTGCTTTTATCAAAATGCCACGCAGACATGGCAGTGAAAGCACTAAAGGCAGTCCAACAATTTAAGAAGTTGTATTTTTTAAATGGCTTATAGATGGTTTACAGATTGAAGGTGAGAATTAACCTTTTTGAGGCTTGTAGTATTTTGGCCACTGACTTCAAGTAGAGCCAAAATGTCACTGAGACAATGCTCTTTCTGCTCTAAGTCTGACCGTGATGCATGGACCTGCAGCAGACAGCTGGTCAGGTCAGGGACAGCCTATTCCGTAAGTCAGAGTATATAACCAACTTCTTTGCTGGCACTTAAGAATGTTCCTTCATGTTTCTCTCATCCCTGCTGGCACCTTTGTCTAAATTAGGCAGCCTTGCCTGTTACAGACATCCAGGTGTGAGTTTTGCTTCTGCTTCTTCATAGTGTGGTGTGTAGGTATGTCCCTGATTCTTCCTTTGCAAGCCTGACAAGGTTCTCCCAATCTCCCTTGTCTTTCTGTGGTGTTGCTCATCCAACTTCCACTTCTTTTCCAGAGAGAAAATATGACCACACATCATCTTGGCCACTGGAAATTTCCTGCACAGAGATTATCAAAGTGTCAAGTCCTTTATCCACATGCATTTGCTACCTACATTTCCATTCTTGGTCCGGGGAGGTGGAAAACCTGAAACAGTGTAGACTGTACATTAGCTAGTTTGGTGGTTATAAACATCTTAATTCAAATACAGAATACAGATTAAATGAAGACTAGTTTCCAGGGCAACACCATGACTGCTCCATCGATAAGCAAAACCTGAGATTAGCTCAGTTGGTTACAGCATGGTGCTAGTAACACCAAGATTGTGGGTTTGATCCCTGTATGGGCCATTCACTTAGGAGTTGGACTCAATGACCCTTATGGGTCCCTTCCAACTCAGAATATGCTGCGAAAAAAATTAACTGAAGGTTTTATGTTCTCAGATATTTGGGTCTTCTAAACTTGGAAAAGTTGGCAACAGTTTTCTGGCTATATCAACTGTTCATGGTATGCCTCTCTCTACATACAGACATGCAATTTTCACAGTTGTTGGTGTGCTTGGGTTGTTGTTTTGGTGTGCTTTTTAAAAGCTTGGCTGACACAGAACCCTCCCAATTCCTTCCCTCCCTCTTTGCCTTAGAATATATGTCTGCATTAAGTACAATTAAGGTATGAGTACCTCCCACAGAAGAGAAATGTGTGTTTGAGGTATTTAAAATGCCTCACCATGTCAGATGCACGTAACTATGGTTCGTGATAATTTCATTCATTCATCTTCCTCACACAGGGGGTTGCCATGGACACACCAGGCAGAAGGTAGAAAGACGGTGTTGACTAAAAGTTTTTCATTTATGTCCACTATGAGAATATCCAGAAGGAAAGAAAAAAACAGGTCAGTGACTTACAACTGATGAACTCTGTTGCAACAAGACTTCTAACCAGACTTCTAAAGCTGTATTTAAAGAAGCTCATCCATGTAGTTTTTGGCTCTAATTCACGGGAGCTGAGCCCAGAAATCAGCATTATGACCATCTAGTCTAAACCCCATACAGAATCATACAAGCCATAGAATCTTCTCTAACAGTACCTGCCATGAACACATTAATTTTATATAATTCACCCCAGCTTTTCTTTCTGAGTCTGGCACAACAACTGTGAGATCTGGAGGACACACGGCACCCTTAGGTAACATCGGGACTCAGTGATTTTCAAACTCATGGAAGGACATCTCATGCCTGTGAATTAAGTGCCTGTTTGGCTATTGTACCTAAGCCTCTAACGAAAGCCTTACAGATTTGAGGGGCTTACTTAGTTTCATTTGCTCCTCACTATCATGATATGGTCTTAGCAGAGAGAGATGACAACATGGACTGAGGACTGACTTTGGGTAGGAACTGTCTACCTGTGTGGAGCAGAGCGCAGTGAGGCGATGCTGGCTGCAGCCAGTCCGTACATATTTCAGAGAAACAGCTCCCTTGACGATGTGAATCACACACAGCCTTTTGCACAAGCTTTACAAAAACTCTTTTGGCTCTCTGAGCTCATTCCCATTCCAAGATCAGGAAAATCTTGTAGACTGCCTCATCTCTTTCCCCCTGTTGTGCCAGCACAGGGCACCAATGTCACATCAGTCTCAGCCCATCCTCAGCCATCCCAGTGCTGGGTCAGGTAACTGTGTTACCATGTGTCACATCCTGGGCTGGGGAACTTTTTGTTGGATGAAAGCTGAAAATAGTCTTTCAGATACTTAAGGTAGGCCACATGTTAGCCCAGTTACTTAACAATTTAAATTTTAGAAAACCAGTATGTGTTGAATAATAGCTCACGCAACATTTTTATTGAGATAACTCATGACTTTTCTTTAAACTTTTTTCCTGAATTTGTTTTGAGTTCGTTGAAAACTAGTGTCTTTCTAAAGTAGATCTCAAAGTCTTCCTTTCTCCTTTCCATTCTTCTCTATGTTGTATACAGTTTCCCACAGCTGAAAATACAAGATGCAAAAAGCAGAACTGTTGCAGAATTTTCTTTTGACTGGCCTCTTTTCTTTTTCAAGGCACAAGGAACTTGTGCTGCTTTGGGCAACTTTTTTTGAAAAAAAAAATAAAAATTAAGATTTTAAACATACCGAAGGATGCATGTTGCACCTTTTATCTAGCGACAATTTGGCATGTATATTAGTTTTAGGTCCCTGCTGGTGCTGTAGTCTATGGGCACACTGAAACACACATGAACCAAGTCATTTATTGCAGATAATACAAACAGAACCTGTGAAATATACAGCTATAGCTATTTGGATATTCAGATAGATATGTTGATATTTGTGTATATACATAGGCAGTGCATTTGTAGGAATCTATAATTACATTCCCCTTTGCTTACTGGCAGCAGCTCAACCCCCCGTAAGAGCGACATTCTTCCTACACCATGTGAATTAAGCAGCCAGCAGCAAGGGCAGGCAAGCTCTTTCCCCCAGGGCAGTGCCGATTTCCTAAGCCCATGCCACCCTCTCACCCACCGCGCCCCGGTGACCCGCCCGGTCTCACCGCTCCCGTTGGACTCGACGAGGGTCGAGGGCGACAGGAACAAGTCCCTTCCCAACAATGTGCTGCAAGTCGTCGAGCAGGCGGCTGGGCACTTTCATGCCAGCGTCCAGCTTCTCCTTATTTGCCTTCGTGAGTCTCTTGATCCTCACCAGGAGGTCGGGGCGGTTGTGGCGAAAGTGGGGGTTCCAGAAGTGGTGCCGGGGCCCATCGGGGCTGTCGGGACTGTCCCCCGCCGCGGCCGGCCCCAGCCTCTGCCCCAGCGCGGGAACAGGCGGCCCCATCGTCAGCTTGTGGAACCCGTACAGGTTAAGCTGGCGGATGATGCTGCCGAAGTTCTTGGTTTTGAAGACCTCCGCCTCCCCGGCAGCGCCGGGCCCCCCGCCCAGCAGCTCCCGTTCGAAGAGCGCCTGGTCGATGAACAGCCCCTCGCCGCGGGCATCCCAGCGCACGGAGCGGACGCG